ATAATAATAGTGAGAGCCACTTTCTAGGAAATGAGTCCTGGTGGTCCTGGTACTTTCCAAGAGCTAGCGGGAAGTAGTGACGACATCACGAGGTTCCCAGTCAAGTATCGCGACAGGTCACGCAGCCCAGGACTCAACATGGCAGGCAGTAAGTTGTCGCTGGAAGGCAGAGTGAGTGTGAGATGTTTTCTTCTAGGGCTCAGCGTGGTTATCATCCCGCTGATCAGGACGTGGTTCGGACATCTCGACTGGGTCTTCGATTACCTGACGGAGACTCCGGGCAAAATAGCGATTTGCGTCCAGGTAGCAGTGATGAACGGCCTGCTGCTGGTCACATACAGAGGTCCTCTGTACAAGGTAAACTCCTCATGACACCGAGGGGACTCACTCTTCTCACTGCTGTCTCACTTCCAACGAGCCACCGTCTCGAAGTGACTCCGCCATTTGAGGCAGTGCGGCTCTGCTAATGGTAGCTAGCTTCGCTCAAGCTGACAGTTGGCTAACTGCTGCCACACGTTAACTTAAGCTGATTACCAGTGTGCTCTGAATAGACCCATAATCCAGACGAAGCCTGTTCTCTAAACCTCGGAGTGCGCAGGTGGAGCAGCGCGACACTGGCTGTAGCTCGCTGAAACCACCTGAGACCTCCGTTAAACCAGCCTGATGAGAGAGAACTGCTGCTCTGTCTGAGCTCTGACAGCTCCCGTGCTGCTGGTGTGTGAAGGTGGTGGGAGAAGCAACAAGGCGTTCTTCGAAAAAAAAAATAGAGTTCCATTAGAAAGCTTCGTCAGGTGTAAGGAGAACACTCACTGCTGTTGATCTGGATTGCACCAGATCATGATACACATTGTCTCAAGGTGCTTTACATAGAGGGTCGATACCTTGCAAATGCTAGAGTTCCCTCAATGAGCAGCACTTTGGTGACTGTGGAGAGAAAAACTCAATCATTAACTAGAAGAAGCCTTTAGAACCAGACTCAGTGCGGACCAACATCTGCCAAGACCGGCTGGGCTGAGAGGAGAGCGATGGGGGGAGAGGAGCCCAGGAGCAATTGTGTACCATGATGTTTCAGCTCTGACAGACTCGTTGTTACAGTGGAAACAATAGGAGTGATGATTATTGATGTAAAGATGTGGTGTAGGTGTGTCTGAGGCCGGCAGCTGTTAACCTGGGACATGTTTGACTGCAGGTGGCGGTGAGAGCCTGTTTCCTGGGGGTCACTTTTGGTTGTGGCTTAATCATCAGCTTCTCTGAAACCACTTGGACACATTTTGGCTGGTATGTATGTATATATGTATGTATGGTATGTATGTATCATTTGTATCGTTTGGATGTCTCAATGCTGAAGTGTACAGATCTACTCCATTGATTCTTATACTCCATTTCTATTAAATCCAGAGCTTCAAACTAACTTTGTACATTGGTTGCACTAGTGCGTCTAACCGTTTCATGTAGGAACCAAATGAAAAACTATATTCACTAGGTGCTCTGAAAATTAGCCTTCTGGTACCACAATAATACCACTATTGTACTTTTTCTTGACAGTGTCCATATACATGGGTCATTTCTTAGTCAAGGCTGGGTATCAGCCCTGATTTCCCAAATTGATTCGATTATGATTCACAAGGTTTCGATTTGGTTTCCAATTTGATTCAATATCTGTTTAGTTCAGGATATTTCATTGTACAATATCAATTCACCTTGGATATGAAAAAAATCTCTTAGAGAATTCTCTTATTACAAATATTAAGGTAGTCCTGTTAAAATAACACACACAATATATTGTCCCAGAAATTATTGTGATACATTTTTTTTATTGTCATCATTTTAAAAACTTCTTATACCACTGATGCAATGAAAATATTACATAATCGTGCAACTACACCCTTTCAAAGAGTAATGAACTTTCATTCTACGAATATTCAGTCTGACATTTAAATTAGAATTTGAAATATTTATATAGCCTGAACAGGTAAAACATATATAAAATAAGCCACTCACAACCAAAACAATGAATTAAATGGACTCTCTGGCTGTTAACAAAAATAGTTCATGGATAAAAATTCAACATTTGGCACAGGGTATGTGGAACCTGCTGAGGTAAGAGGTGGTTATGATTCAGATCGGCTTTTAGGTTTGTATTGTATTGTTGTGTGTGGCTGGTGAACTCTATTAAACCCTCGAACAATCAAACAATCCTTGTTGCTCAGGTCTGAAGAGATGAGTGTTGAAGCAGGCCACGTGTCCTCTCACGACAGCAGGATGTTTCGGTGGTGATGCAGCTGAACAAGTGTAGTAACGGTTCTTCCTCTGTGCAGGTACCTGTGCTCCCTGTCGTTCTTCCATTACTCTGAGTACCTGGTGACGGCCATCATCAACCCTCACAGCCTGTCGCTGGACTCCTTCCTCCTCAACCACAGCATGGAGTACACCCTGGCTGCCATCTCGTCATGGGTGGAGTTCACTGTGGAGAAGCTGACAGTTCCAGGTTGGTGTGTCATCAGTCTCATTGCCACTGCTCTCCGTCCACTCAGAACTATTGTGTGTATTTTGTATTACATCAGTGTGATCTCAGCTCAGGACAACGTGCAGACTTGATATACAGAGCATGGAGGAGTTAACTGTAGAATGTTTCTGAATCCCCAAATATGCCCCAACAGATATAGACAATCCAACATTCAAAGTCAGGATGTTTGAGCTCCTTCACTTTACCAGTTATTCCACTGCTTTGCAGTTTGTGCTCTGCTTCCTTGTGTGATGTGGAAAAGGTCACATGTCAGAATTCAGACGTATCCTAATTAGAATCTGACGAGTGCAGAGCCTGTCACTGCAGGTTCACCGTTTTCCAAATATTTTTGTTTTTAATTGTGAACATGCTGTCATCAGTGACATCATCCAATGGTTACAATGGGAACAGTAATTGCAGATTACCAGTAAAATAAATTGAGGAATCTTGTATATAGTCCATAGCAGGGCTGTAACGATTCTCGAACCAAAATCATGGTCCAGACGTCCACGGTTTCGGTTTGCAATACACGAAAACAGAACCGCGACCCTGCCAAACCCCACACACTGCCTCAGCAGCAGGTGCAGCCTGTTGCATGGCTGCATATGTGTTCAATCACACTCCTATTCAATCACAACCCTGCGTTATCTGAACCAACACAGAACTTACTAGTATCTTCAGAGCAGTCTGGTGGATTGTTTATTCCCTATGGAGTTTCCCTGGAGCTGCCGGCCAGGTTGTGCCCAACTGACTGACAGACGAGACCCTGAACGGTACCTAAGTGCCCTGAACATATTGTATACTGGAACGCTTGTCTTTCTGTTGACTTTCCTGAGTTGTTAGTTTATGAAGATCTGCTGTAAAACTCAGGACAGGTTTTCTTTTGTTCTATTTGATTTTCCTCGTGTGAATGCATTGAACTGAACTGAACTGTGTTGGGCTTGTGGGGGAGACTGAAACAGACTTTGTAAATATAAGGTTTGAACTCTGGACATTTCAGACACACTGGGATGACATGTCCTCTCCTGTCCCCACTCTCACAGAGCTGAAGCAGCTGAGCTGGCTGAGCATTGTGGGTCTCCTCATGGTCCTGTGTGGCGAGGCCCTGCGGAAGGCTGCCATGTTGACCGCTGGCTCAAACTTCAACCACATTGTCCAGAACGAGAAGGCCCATAGTCATGTGCTGGTTACTGGCGGGGTCTACGCCTACTTCAGACACCCTTCCTATGTGGGATGGTTCTACTGGAGCATAGGAACACAGGTGAGCTGCTACAGCACACATGATTCTCTCATTCTAATGCTGCCAAACACCAGCACATCGTTTTTAGTGATATTCCACTATTTTCCTTTTTGTTAGTCAAAAAATTATGGTTTGAAATGAATATGTATCACTGTGGTCTGTGCTTTGATCGTTTGGTGATCATCACATTTCAGAGTTGCTCCAATGCCTCATCTAATAAGGAATTTAGTCATATAATCAAAAATGGGGCCGTTTCAGATTTGATCCAACAATACTGAAGGGCTGGCTGGAGATGAATACCAGATTCCATGTTGTAGGAATAACTGAAATTTGGAGGATTTGGAGTCTGTCGGTCATGTGTTTTCTGACACTGTATCATCAAACGTGAATGGTTGGTAAACAGAATGCAGGACTGAAAATCAGCATCAGACAGAATGTGTAGATCATGAGCTGCAGCTCCCTGCGTCATCCTCATATTTCATGAAAAACTCTGCTGCCCATATGACAGACAAATCATCCTCTCCACGGAAGAGACCATTTGGTTTTGGGTCACAGAACTGCTCGTTTGGCAGAAATGTAGAAAAAAAGAGCAGAAACTGTTCAATCTGGAGCCATAATAACAGACAGATGAGACACAGTACTGACTTGTACTGACGTTTCTTGTGTTCTGCTTTGTAGACTGACAACACTGTTGACTGTTGCAGGTCTTGCTGTGTAACCCGCTGTGTATACTGGCTTACACGATAGCCAGCTGGCGGTTCTTCCGGGAGCGGATTGAAGAGGAGGAGCTCTCTCTTATCCACTTCTTCGCAGAGGACTATGTGGAGTACAAGAAGAAGGTTCCCACTGGGCTGCCCTTCATCTCAGGCATCCGTGTCAACTAGTCCCAGCAGCTTGGATCCTGGACATAACAGACTTACAACACTAAACCAGGTCAGACCTGGTGGGTGTGCGGTGTCTGCCGTGTCGGCTGCTCTCCAGAGGGAAACCCTGCAGCTGGCTGAGAGCCTGTAGCTCAAAGACAAAGACTGAGCGCTGGGAGGACGGTGGGCAGCTGGGCTGCTGTTTTTCTACCAACCTCAAAAATCCAATTAAAGACCAGAGAACCTCCACTGTTCTAGATATATTCCAATAACATCCACTCTATCTGTTTGAATTGTGTTTCTGTTTGCATGCTTTACACATGCCTAGTGTTTTCACTGATGAGCTGAAGAATGATACGTGCACTGGGCCCTTTGGTATCGTACTCCAGCAGAGGGTGAAATGATCATCCTCTGAAGTTTAAATGGGAAATGTTTCACAAGAAATTATACAATAGTTATTTTCAATGAGTTCACATAGTAAGTGGCACTGTCAGTAGTTAGGTCAAAAAGCACTCTCCTTAAATAGATACAGTGGAAACAGCTTACAGTGTTTTACCTTTGTCCCGGTTGAAAAAGACAATATAAGCAGTTAATTAATAAAAGTGAATTGTATAGCTTCTATATGAACACACACACTGACTCACTTTGCTCGCTCTCTCTTTCTCTCTCTCTTTCTCTCTCTCTCAGACTCAGACGACGTGTGTCACCTGCTACAGTTTAAACGTCACTATATCAACACATAATGATCGATACCTTTCTTCAATGCGTAAAATCTTTCTTCACAGCGGCGCACACACACTCATCAGCCCGTCCCGCTCGCTCTCTTCCTTTCTCCTGCGGGCACTGACACACAGTGTCAACAGACACGTGTAAGCTCAGACTGGACTATAAAGACAGTTGATCACTATATCCGTGATCACTATAAGTGGTTTCCACTGTATTTCCATTTCAAAACAAAAAAAGGCTTTAAGGAAAACTGTACAGCCACATACTGTATTAGAGCTCTTTGTTGGTCTTCTCACTATCTTGTTATCAAGACTCATCCCTGGACATGAGGCACGTCAGGTCAATGGTTATTGAGTCTAATATGGTCTGCAAAGGACCAGTAGTGTTGCTGCGGCTCTCAGGTCTGTATGTATCATTGTCATTAGGGGGATGAATACGTGTTTGTATGCTTGGGGACATTGTGGGTCTCTCTTCTTTAAGTTCTTATAAACATGTCCAAGTCATGGGAGTGTTCATTGGCCTTGTGCAGTTTGTGTGGGGATGCAGACCTGAGACACACGTTAACCCTTCTCACCTGGACTCTTAACGGACGGTTGCTGTCGTCTTTCAGTCAACCATATCACAATGTCCACAGTACCTACCACTGTATACCAAAGTTCAGCTTGTTGGCTTCACTCTACATGGTGTTTGCTCATTTCAGCTTTGCATCTACCAACTTGACACTTAAAATCGTGTATGCTGCAGTTGCATGAGGGCTGGTTGATAAGTTCATGGTGGAAGGTAGGAGCAGACCTATCAGAAAACCTCTCACATTTATATTTCAACATAAATCACTTCATACATTTGCACTCCTTTTTCAGTGGTTGTGAATCCTGTCTTTGTAGAACCCAGCATCTTGGGCGTCTTGTCATCCAGTCCCCCCCCCCGGTCACCTTTGAGTTCATCAATGCACTTCTTCACCAGGCTGTAAGAAGGGGCTACCCTCCCTTAGCCATCCTGTTGACCTCTGATGATGAGGAGCCTTTTCAAACTCTGTGCCTCATCACTAGCCATATTTTCTACATAGGAGGTGCATGTGTGAACACAAATGTCTGAGTGAGACGCTCCGCAGTTTCTGCAGCCTTTCCCTATGTGGTCTCCTTGTATAGAGTTGGTAGAAATCCAAAAGAAGTCGATGTGTGAACACAGCAGGGGGTCCCCCGCTGGTGATCTCTGCAGCAGAGTTAATACATAATTTCCTGCCTCTGCTGCACCCGGCTACTCCATCTCTCGTCTGAATAATGCGTAGGATTTGTTGCTGTTGTGAACACACCTGTGGAGAAAACCTGCTGTGTTGTGCATGTGTGAACTCGAGACAATTCTCCGGATTTCACCCCCAGGCCATGTCTGAAAACGGCTACTGTGAGAGTTGAAAGTGCATGTACCAAGAGTTGTATAACTCATCTCCTCGTACCTTAGTCCACAAACTTCTGAATCAGCCCTCTTAACAGGATGTTTACTATCATTTCACTGTCTAAGTTAAACTATAGAGTCTGCTAATTGTTACTATAAACACTCAGGACAAGCTTGATACAAGAAGACACAAGAAACATTCAACCAATTCATGAAATTAGTTTAAATTTTGACCAGTGGCACAATCTACTGAATGCTGGGTTTGTGTAGTGCAGTCAGAAGCTGCATGTACATGTGGGTTGTGTGTGTAGTCTGATTTTAAAGTGACACTTGTAGCATTTAAGTGAAGTGCTCTGTGTAGTTTAAGACTATGAGACGACTGTATGAGGTGTTCGGATGATGAGCTGCCTGCAGCATGGAACCTGATTGGTTTCCGGGTGTGTTGCACTTTTACTGTATATCGTCCATTTATCGTAGGTCAGTATTAAGCAGTTTGATACTCCGACTGAAAACTGTTGGCAGATTACTGTGCATTTATCCACAAAGCAGATTTTCTCAACACCAACTGTGTGGATTAAAATTGAGGCAGTTATTATTAAGGCTCTGTTGATATTATTCTCATTATGCCATTAATAATAATATGCAGATAATTCCAACACACATGAATTGAAACAAGTGTCAAGAAAACCAGAAAGGAAGTGGCACTCCAACAACTGTGTTGAAAGTCATCCAGCCTGGAAAGATAGTATTAGAGTTTATAAGAAGGCCCTCTACAAAGCAAGAGCTGCTTACCACTCCACATTAATAGAGGACAATAAAAACAACCCCAGGTTTTATCCAATTACAGACCAATATCCAACCTCCCCTTCCTGTCTAAAATCCTTGAGAAGGTTGTAGCCAATCAGCTGTGTGAGTTTCTCCAGGGAAGTAATTATATGAAGACTTTCAGTCAGGGTTTAGAGCTCATCATAGCACAGAGACAGCCTTGGCAAAAGTCACTAATGACCTTCTAATAGCTTCAGATCAAGGGTTTGTGTCTGTCCTTGTCCTGTTAGATCTCAGTGCAGCATTCAACACAATGGATCATCAAATTTTATTAAAGAGACTAGAACAGCTAATTGGCATTAAAGGAACTGCCCTAAACTGGTTTAAATTATATTTTTCAGATCAATGCCAATTTGTACAAATTAATGATGAGTCATCTGTGCGCGCCAAAGTGTTCCTCAGTGTTCTGTGCTCAGCCCAATTTTATTCTCATTATGCTTCCACTAGGAAACATTATCAGGACACATTAGTACATTTCCACTGCTATGCAGATGACACCCAGTTATACTCATCAATAAAATCAGAAGAGTGTAATCTATTAACTAAACTTCAAGCACGTTTCAAGAACATAAAAACATGGATGACCCATAACTTTCTCATATTAAACTCAGATAAAACAGAGGTTCTAATACTTGGCCCTAAACACATTAGAGATACATTATCTAATGATATAGCTGCGCTAGTTGACATTGTCCTTTCTTCCAATGAAACAAGCAGGAATTTGGGAATTACCGTTGATTCTGATTTGTCCTTTGATTCTCACGTAAAACAAATTTCTAGGACTACATTCTTTCACTTAAGTAATATATCAAAAATCAAACATGTCCTGTCTCAAAAAGTTGCAGAAACACTAGTCCATGGCTTTGTCACATCCAGACTTGATTATTGTAATTCCTTATTATCATGTACTAGCAGTAAGTCATTAAAGACTCTGCAGCTTGTTCATAATGCTGCAACACGTGTCCTGACAAGAACCAGGAAAAAAGATCACATTTCTCCTGTATTAGCTTCACTACACTGTCTTCCAGTTAAATCGAGAATATAATTTAAAATTCTCCTTCTCACCTACAAGGCCCTTAATAATATGGCACCATCATACCTTAAAGAGCTCATAGAGCCATATCACCCCACTAGAGCACTGTGCTCCCAGAATTCAGACTTACTTGTTGTCCCTAAAGTCTCTAAAAGTAGAATAGGAGCCAGAGCTTTCAGCTATCAATTCAATTCAATTCAATTCAATTTTATTTGTATAGTGCCAAATCATAAAATACATTATCTCAAGGCACTTCCCATGGAAGGTCAGGACGTTAAAATCAAAATATAAAGAAACCCAACAGTTACCACAATGAGCAGCACTTTGGTGACTGTGGAGGAAAAACTCCCTCATTAACAGAGAGAAACCTCTAGAACCAGACTCAATGTGGGCGGTCATCTGCCTCGACCGGTTGGGGTGAGCAAAGAAAATGGGGAAAGGAGATGAGAGATGGGTGGAAAAGAGGGGAGAGAAGAGAGAGGGAGAGTGGGGAGAGAAAGACCGGGAACACTTGAGCACCATCAGGTATTAGATCTGACTAGTTAAAAAGTAAACAACAGTGTAAAGACATTTAATTATTATTGATAACAGACACAATTCATATCATAATGAATTATTGATAAATTGTAATTAATAATAGTAATAATGGTAAAGTTGTTGTCCTGAGGTTCCGGGGTCAGAGATATCTAAAATGAGAGAGAAAAAGGGAGAGAGAGAGACTATGGGAGTACAAAGTGAACAAGTCATTGACATGTATTAAAATTAATTAATTAATGAATGTGGGGGGGCAGAGAGACAGAGAGAAGTTGAGAGGTCCTCAGTGCATGATGGGAGTTCCCCCAGCAGTCTAGACCTATAGCAGCATAACTAAGTGATGGTTCAGGACTCACCTGATCCAGAACTAACTATAGGCTTTATCAAAGAGSAACGTTTTAAGTTTAACTTTAAATGCWGAGATGGTGTCTGCCTCCTGAACCCAGAGTGGGAGCTGGTTCCACAYGAGAGGAGCCTGGTAGCTGAATGCTCTACCTCCTGTTCTACTCTTACAGACTTTTGGAACCACAAGAGAGCCTGTGTTTTGTGAACGAAGTGATCTGTTTGGATAATATGGTGTTATGAACTCTTTGATATATGAAGGGGCTTGATTGTTAAGGGCTTTAAATGTGAGGAGCAGGATTTTGAATTCTATTCTGAATTTTACAGAGAGCAAATGTAGAGAAGCTAAGACAGGAGTAATATGATCTCTCCTTAGAGCTCCTGTCAGCACTCATGCTGCTGCATTTTGGACCAACTGGAGACTTTTTACAGACTTCCTGGGACATCCTGATAATAAAGAATTACAGTAATCTAATCTAGAGGTAACAAATGCGTGGACTCGTTTTTCAGCATCCTTCTGAGACAGGATGTTTCTAATTTTGTTAGAATAATTGTGCAGGTGGAAGAAAAGCTGTCCTAGAGACTTTTTTTATGTGTTGGTCAAATGACATGTCCTGGTCAAACATATCTATCATAACTATCAGGCTCCTCTCCCGTGGGATCATCTCCCAGTTTCAGTTTGGGAAGCAGACACCCTCTCTGCAGTGAAGAATAGGCTTAAAACCTTCCTTTATGATAACGTTTATAGTTAGAGTTGGTCCAGGTTTGTCTTAGACCTGCTCCCTGGTTATGCTACTATAGGTCTAGAATGTCGAGGGACACATGACACATGGAGCTTCTCTTTCCTCTCCTCCTTCCTTATCACATCAAATAAATTAATGTCTCATCAAACATGTTACTGACTTTACTTCTTCCCAAGAGTCCCTGTACCTTATCGTTCACAGATCCAGGGCCACGACTGCAGCCACATCGTGGATTATGATGATGGATCCCGAATCACAGATCGTGATCATAATGATGGATCCTGTATCGTGCTGGCATCTGAACATAGTGGTGGAACATGATCGAGGTGGAAGCTGATGGTGGACTATGATTACAAGACTGCTTGATATACAAAATGTCTACTCAGATACTCAGATACCATTACTGATAATAATTCCTCAATTCATTTACCATCCATCAAGCTACAAACTGTTTACTCTAACCAATGCTGTAATTGTAAAATTAATCTTAATCTTACTCATCTATTGCACTTCTGTCCGTCCTGGGAGAGGGATCCTTCACATGTGACTCTCTCTGAGGTATACGTTCTTTTCCCCTGTTAAAAGGTTTTTTTGGTAGTTTTTCCTTGCTTTTGTTGAGGGTTAAGAACAGAGGATGTCACACCTTGTTAAAGCCCTATGAGACAAACTGTGATTTGTGATTATGGGCTATACAAATAAAATTTGATCGATTGATAGAGTGATGGGTGTGTGGAGGAACTGATAACAGTACATATATAATGTGATCCACGAGCAATGCAAATGAGATAAAGGATTATTAAAATGATTAGTGGAGGGAGATAGGGAGCCCTGCCACTAATACTGCATTACAGTAAGGCTGTAAATATTACTACTTGGTAAGCTTAAGTAAATTACCTGGTATGTAACTATGGCCTCCTCAGACCTTGTATCATTTCCTTTCCTTGGATATCAAAACACACCCCTGTTAAAATGCCAAGTTGTTGTTATGTAAAAAAAAAAAAATGAGAACAAGATAGGTCTTGTCAGAACTAGTTCCAACTTTAATGTGACCTGCAGTCAGTGAAGTTTTGGTAGTTTTTCCTTACTCTTGTTGAGGGTGCAGGACAGAGGATGTCACAACTTGTTAAACCCTATGAGGCAAATTGTGATGTGTGAAAGTGGGCTATACAAATAAAATTTGATTGATGCATGGATAGATATAGACATAGATATGGGTCAGATAGGGCTGTCCTGTGTTTGTTATTCATGCTAAAATACACTGTGATTTCATAAAGCTCGATCCACATTAGTTCTTAGTTTTATTTGTATTCATGCACATACCAATCTATGTCAGAGCCAGCATATGAGGCGACATTGAAGTTTGGATATGATTGTGTCTAGATGTCTTTTGAATCGATTTCAGATAGGCGGATTCGATCGATGACTCGGCATTTGATTTGTGAATGACGCGCATGCGCACGGCCCGGGCTTCCTCTCCCCTTGCTTCTCCGCCATGGCGCCTATTGTGAGTAACGTCGCGTGTTCTTAAAGACGCAGAAATGTGGTGTATAAGCAGCGGCGAAGTCCGAGGGCAGCAGCGGGACGAAGCGTCGGTTTGTGGGTGTGGGTGGAGGTGAAGAGCGGGGCTGTGGTTCGGCTCAGAGGGGCCCACAGAGAGTTTAGTTCGCCGGGCTGTGCTGTGGCCTGTGGCCGCCTCTTCAGCGAAGCTCTCCACCACGTTGTCCGCTCAGCCCGTGTAGCAGCGGGGTGTTGCGCAGCATAGTACGGCTAGCTTAGCTTAGCATGTGCTAGCTGGACATGTTTTAAGGGGTCTGACGTCAGCGCGTCGTAGCAACATGCTAATGAAGCTAACACTGAGGTTCTCCTCGCCTGTCTTTTTCATTTTACAATCGCGTCCACGTTGATGCTGCGTCGTTCAGTGCGATCAAATGTAGACATGACGGTTTAGATCACAGGACAGGATGGTTAGTGTGGTGGAAGCTTTTCGGAACTAGTTTAAGTTGACAATCACCAGCAGATATCAGGGATCACCAGTTGTGTCCCTTGGTGTCATCTGGTGTTTCAGCACCCCCCTTGCTTAGACAGCCCCCCCACCCCAAAGGCTGATCAGACCTGGGTATGT